TCAGGACTCAGATATATTTTTGTTAATATATAGCAAAGATGCTAAGACATGTGACACATGTCCTGTGACACATGCCACAGGAAGCCCAGGTATGAGAAGCATGAGGAGGAAGCATGAAAGAGTAACAAGTCACCTAGCGATTCAAGGTCTAGAAAGGCAGGACATAACAATGTGCACACGGGCTAGAGAAATGGAGCACTGGGCGTAAGTAACCATGGCACAGACCAACGGTGAGAGAGTGAGAGACAAAGCTAACTGGTCAGAAAAGGCTACACAGCCACAGTGGGGGTTCCCTCTCAGGGGAATTTCTTCAGGCAACAAGGAAGGGTCTAAAGAGGGGATCCCAGCAGCCGAGAACACCCTGGACACTCTCCGTGGCTGTCAGGCCACAGGGCAGGGGTGTCTGACGAGGCACCCTCACCACAGAGGAGCAAAGGTACAGGTCAGGAGAGGTGGGGGAAGTCACAGGAGCAATGAAACCTTAGGAGCCCGCCAGCAAGTCCTACTTCCTCCCTCTCCAGGAAAGGGGGAACTAGGCAGAAAGTGTGTCAGTGTTCTGAGGCCCGCCAAGTGTGTGATGAGACCGCAGTGTGGCCGTCCCCCTCCAGATGGGACTGCTGCCCTCCTGCAGGACAGCACCCACAGCCACCTATATAGCCCAGCCCAAACACTACCCTACGGGGCCCCAAAAGCAAGGTCATGAGGCACAACCCGCTCCCTCTGGGTAGGGCGTTCCTAGGTCCACTGCAGGCCCTGTACTCCCAATCGCCCAGAAACAGGGAGGGGGAACAGAAAAGTTGCTTTCCCACAGGTTTCCACTGCAAGTCAAAGCACTTAAGGGAAATTTCAGTGAGACTTCAGGCTTCCCTATGAATCTTATCGGCCCTTCTGATAGCATCCACTCTACGGCTGTCACTTTGAGAAACAACTCCTGCTGCAGTAAAATTAATTACAAAAGAGAAAAACAGTTTGAAGAACAAGACTTTAACAATGCATTCATTGTAAAAGCTAAGCTTGTAGCCAGATGAATTCTGACTGAAATATTACCCAGAGCCACACACGCAGTCTCTCAGCAGCCCTCTCCGACTCGGGCAGACCTGCCACCAGTTCCACAATCATGCCCAAGGCACAGACCTTCAGCACAAACTGCCACAGCACCCAGACACACCTCCCAGCTGTGCCTGTAAATATTTCAACTCCCTGCAGGCTGCAAGCTGATCAGGGCATGCTATCCTGCCTGTGGGACAGATGGCCACTGAGCCATCACGAACTCCATGCCCACCGTCATGAGGTTCAGCAGCACTGTAGGTGGAAACCACCCTTGTTTGTTCTTCTGTGGGCCATGTGCCCGGCCCCCACGGCAGGCTGGTCCCTCATTTTCACAGTTTGCAGTGCTGTCAGTTTCCACTTTTGCGGCCTGTGTCTAATCCAACTATTTAAACAGAAACCTGAATCGGTGTGCTGATAAGGGATTTGAAGCCCACAAACACAAATCCTTTGTAATGAACTAGCTCTTTCAACACATTCAAAATGATGTGGAATTTCTTGGAAGTAAAAACTTCAGTTTAAATCAGGAAAAATTTATCAGCCGAAAGGATGACAATGGACTCTGTGCCAATGTAAACACACCAGCACCAAGCACTGAAAACGGACCCCTGGGAGCCATCGTCAGCCCAGCAGGCTTCTCTCCTCCGGGGCACCATCATCAGAAGGCATTCCCCATACTACTGAGGTAAGTGCCTGCTGATTCACTAGAGACTGGACACACAACTGGTTCTCAGTGTTCAAATGACTTCCTCAAGGGTCCAGTACCATGTGAACCAGTGAAGAACGGGCCCAGTTACAGAACACTATGCTACTGAACAGGCCTTAGCAATACAAGTCCAACACTCACAGCTGCATAGCAGCACTTCCTCCAATGACCTGTCCTTTGAACCTGCCTTCACCACAACTGCGCTCCGCACCATGGCCAGCTGGCATCACAGGGCAGACACACATTGGCCCTGGCCCTCACACCTGCTCAGGGCGTGTCCTGAGTACCAAGTGGCCCTCAGCAGAGGCTCCTTGCTCTAGTCACAGAAGTGAAGTATTATGGGACTCCATCAGTGTCCATTCTCACAGAAGATACTCCTTAGGAAGTGGCAAAGCATGGTGCCAGTGAAGGCTCTCCACACACAATAGACTCCACAGCTACTGCTGACCTTACTCAATGCCCTTCACTTCTGTGGTGTTTTCCAGTTCATCACATGCTTGCCCTGCATGCACTCAAACCTGGCATCGGGTGGTACAGATTGAAAAGAGGGATGTGCCCAGGACACTCCCCCAAACATGCTAGAGGCAGCCTAGAAGCAGAAATCTGCTTTGAAGAGCTACTAAAGACCTATTTTCAGGCCCACATCTCTACAGGATACTGCTGTAATCCTTCTTATGAAACGTGCTGGAAAGTAGAGAAACCCTACACTTCCACCTCTGATTAGTATGGGGACCTTACCTTGCCAGCTCTGGATTCAGCTCAATAGCTGTGGGGCATCATGGGGCCAGAAATACATCACATTACACAAGGCCACCAAAGGAAGAGCTACTCAAAAGGGAGTGTGAAAATCAGAACCCACTTCTGTCCCCACCACCTTCTGCACAGATGCAGCCACCCTTGCAAAAGATAGAGCCACCCTAGAGCATGCAGGGAGCCACCCTGCCTAATGGCCCATGTACCTTTAACAAAATTGTTGCATGATGCTTTTTTCCAAGGGGAGGATTCCAAGCCTCGCCCATTCAGAATATCAGCCCTCAAATAAGGATGAACTGGAGCCTCTTTCCAAACAGCTGCTTTCTAACAGCATGAGGCTGAAACAGGCTCCAGGGGTCACGGAGTTCAGCCATCTGCCCAGAGAAATAAGTAAGTATGCTTTTCTTCAACGTGAAGTCCCTCCTGCCTCCAGCATGGCATGCGGGCAGAAGCCCAGGGAAGATGACCTTCCTCAGGCCAAGTGCTACGCTGAGCTGCCCAGTGAACCATCACATGAGGGACAGAGAGGCAACTGGCCTCTGCCACCACCTAGACACGGGTTCAAACCACTCTATTTACCATGCAGGTATGTAACTTCTCTGCACCTCAGTTTCCATATCTGTAACACAGCAGCGACACCTACCTCACAACACTGTTGACTTAAAGCCAACCAGCAAGGCGTGAGCTACCTGGCAAAGTGCCCGTCTCAAAGTAAGTGCTCGTCTCAAAGTAAGTGCTCAAAAAATGGCACTCACAGCCTCTGGCCCACCTTAGAATCAAACTGGTCTGGGCCATTTTCAGACTTCTCAACTGGTACTGCTCCCCCTGCTGACTGCACACACTTAAAGAGGAAAATTAATTGGGATGGGGACCTCTCCTAGTGTCACCTTAAAAATCTAGATGCAAACTCATTGGAGCAGTGCAAACCAGTATGTTCTCAGATAAGAAATCCAAGATTGAGGGCATCTCTCCCATTACTGATGGGAAAAATGGCATATTCACACATAACATACATGTTGGGGACTCTAGCTGATGATGTAAACACAGAAGCCTAGTTCCTCTCACCTCCAGGTGAGGAGGTCTAACCTTTGTCCTTCAAATCATTTTTTCCCTTTCTGGATTCCGGCGTTTTTGTACTAGAACTAGCAAGACTGTGAGAAAATATGTTCTTCTTCCTACGGACGCCATGGAAGTACACACCCTGCATTGCAACAGCATCACTGTACAAAAGTTCATTTTACAGACGTCCAGGTTATCGTCAGCCCCAGCCTCCTGAGGTTCGCCAAGCAGCCCAAGCACCCCAAGTACAGTCACACATCTCAATTGTCAAAGACATCCCTTTGCCTTTCACCATTTTTCTCAACTGAACAGGTCCTCCTCCTCTTAGGCTCTGGATTGTCACCCATTTCAAGGAAGCATTATTCTTAACCTGAAGTTCACCGGTGAGCTGCAGGTTTCAAGAGCCTCCTAAAGGAATTACAAAATTCGGTGTAGCTCTGCGTTTTTCTCAGGAGAGTACTCATACCTTCCATCAGATTCGCCAATTCGCTCACAACCCCCCAGAAAGATTAAAAAAAACAAAGCCGCTGTCACAAAGCTGTATGTCGGAAAATAGGGAGTCAGGTGCATTTCTGGAACTTCCTTCGTTTAAGAGATTTGCTTTTAGAACCAGATTTTGCAAACTGTCTAGACACGCTTCCATCACCCACTTCACATTTGCATACAAGATATAAATCCTTATGCCATCTTACCAAGCCTCCAGAGTGTAACAAAGAGAAAATATAAAATCACTAGGGATACTTTTAGTAACAGAGAAAATACAGAAACACTAGCCGTACTTTTAGCAAAACATTTAACCCAAGTGTTTTTCCTTTTCCTCTCCCTCTAAAATCCTCCTCCCTGTCACGCTCACTTTCCCTTCGGTGGCAGGTTCCAGCCCGGCCTCCCGGGGGCTTCTCACAGTACTGATGCCTGGGCCGAAGCGGAGCCTCAAGCAGGAAAAGCACCCAAATACCGCCCCGCAGGGCCGGGAAAGGAGTGGACCAGACTCCATCCTAGCCGAGAATCGGAGAGCCCAGAGCATCAGGTGCTCTGATCAAGAACTCGCACCTTCCCGCTCCGCTGTGAGTTGGGACACGGGGACCCGTTCCAGGGGAAGACCCAGGGCGTCTCCTCCGCAGACGGAACGAAAGGTAACCCAGAAGCCTCGGCTGCAGGCCGCGCCGAAAACAAACTTTCCCAGCACTTCCACCGCGACGGGCCGCTGACACTTCCTTGGCCTCCCGCGCTCTCCGCGCATCTGTCAGCTCCCCTGCCCCGGCGGCGGCCGAACGTCGCCTACCAAGCCCGCACTCCGAGGCCAGGCCGCCTGGCCGCAGGTGAGGCGCCGCCCGGCCCTCGGGACACCGGGGCGCCCCGCCTCGCCGGGCCGCGGCAGTCGCCTCGCTCGGCGGACTGGCGGACCGGCGCGCCTGGGCGGCCTCCGCACACTCACCAACTGGCTGGTGGTCCTGGCCATGGGCCCCGCGTCGGCGCGGGCGTCTCCCCCGCAGCGCTGCGCGGCTCGCCGCCTCCTCAGCGTCCTCCTCCCCGCAGCGGAGCCCCAGCAATGGCCGCCCTCATCCTGCGCCCAAACCGTCGCCCACCGCCCCCGGCGCCGCCCCGCCCCCGCGCGACGCTGGGCGGGATTTCCGCCGCGCCCCGCGCCCATTGGCTGCACCTGCCGTCTCTCCGCTACAGCCCGGCCCGGCCCCGCCAGCGCTCCCGCGCCGCATTTCCGGGTTGGGGCCCGGCGGGCAGCCGCGGCCCGGCCCCGCCTAGAGGGACACCCCGCGTCAGCCAATCCCGGGGCCGTAGGGCGGGGCCGGGCGGGGGAGGGGCAAGCTGTCATCCCGGCTTCCAGGCGGGGAAACTGAGGCTTGCTGGGGCCAGACCGGCCAAGGTCACGCCCGAGGTGGAGGCGGGGCTGGGCTCCGACCCACGGCTCGGCCTCGAGAGCCGGGCTCTGCGTAATCACCGAAACACGCAACTTTACTAGTTACACAACTGAGAAGTGTTCTCGGAAAGCAAGTCGGGCTATAAAGTCATGTTTCTGAGGCGGAATTCAATCTCTCTCATCACTGCTTATACTCCCAGGGACACCTTCAGAACTTTCCTCTTTGTTTATTAACTTCTTTGCATGTTATTGTTGATGGTGATGTTATTGTTACTGACATGTTACACTTGGTGTTTTAATTGTAGTAAGATACACTTAAAATTTACCACCTTAACCATTTTAGTGTTCAATTCAGTGGCATTAAAGTACATCCACGTTGTGCTATGATGATGACGTTTTAAACACAATTAAATGAATCATCTTTCTTACCTGAAGGTTTTTGAATTTTTAAATAACTTTTTTTGGTTTCCAAAGGAAATACATGTTTATTTTTAAAAAATAACAATTTAGACAATACCAATAAGATAAACCAATACATAATCCCAGTGGACAGAATTAATTGTTGAACAGCAGTAATAGCTTGCTAACAGTTACTCAGCACTTACTTCTAGTAGGGGATTCCCATGCCAAATCTCATTTACCCTCATCAAGTATCCCTGTTATTGCCCCACTTTTCAGGTGAGGAAGCTGAGGTATAATGCAATTCTGTAATCTGCCCTAGATCTTGTAGTGCCAGAACCAGGATCTGGATACCCACATGCCAGGGCCTGTGTTTTGACCATTAGACTATACAGCCTCTGTTTGTCCACCCTTCCAGTCCTCTGTACTCTTGTGTACCTTAAAAAACAATAAAAAGGCAAATGTAAATAAAACCGAGAAGAGTAAAACAATAGAACCAATTAAAGCAAGAGCTGGTCCTTTGAGAAAATAAACAAAATAGATAAACCCCTAGCTAGACTTATCAAGAAAAAAAGAGAGTCTACACACATAAATGGAATCAGAAATGAGAAAGGAAAAATCACTATGGACACCACAGAAATACAAAGAATTATTAGGGAATTAAAGGAAAAATTATATGCTAATGAACTGGATAACCTAGAAGAAATGGACAACGTTCTAGAAAAATATAGCCTTCCAAGGCTGACCCAGAAAGAAACAGAAAATCTGAACAGACCAATTTGTTAGCAGCAACAAAATTGAACTGGTAATCAAAAAACTACCTAAGAACAAAACATCTGGACCAGATGGCTTCACTGCTGAATTTTATCAAACATTTAGTGAAGACCTAATACTCACCCTCCTTAAACTTTTCCAAAAAAGTAGAAGAGGGAATACTTCCAAACATATTCTATGGGGCCAGCATCACTCTAATACCAAAACCAGGCAAAGATACCACAAAAAAGGAAAATTATAGAACAATATCCCTGATGAACATAGATGCAAAAATACTCAACAAAATATTAGCAAACTGAATTCAAAAATATATCAAAAAGATCATCCACCATGATAAAGCAGGATCTATTCCAGGGATTCAAGAATGGTACAATATTAGAAAATCCATCAACATCATCCACCACATCAACAAAAAGAATGACAAAAACCACATTATCATCTCCAGAGATGCCAAAAAAGCATTTGACAAAATTCAACATACATTCATGATAAAAACTCTCAACAAAATGGGTATAGAGGGCAAGTACCTCAACATAATAAAGGCCATATATGACAAACCCACAGCCAACATCATACTTAACAGCAAGAAGCTGAAAGCCTTCCCTTTAAGATCAGGAACAAGACAGGGATGCCCACTCTCCCCGCTTTTATTCAGCATAGTTCTGGAGGTCCTCATCACAGCAATTAGACAACACAAAGAAATAAAGGGCATCCATATTGGTAAGGAAGAAGTTAAACTGTCACTGTTTGCAGATGACATGATATTGGACATAGAAAACCCTAAAGACTCCACTCCAAAACTACTAGATCTAATATCTGAATTCAGCAAAGTTGTGGGATACAAAATTAATACACAGAAATCTGTGGCATTCCTATACACTAACGATAAACTAGCAGAAAGATAAATCAGAAAAACAATTCCATTCAAAATTGCATCAAAAAGAATAAAATAACTAGGAATAAATCTAACCAAGGAAGCGAAAGACCTATACTCTGAAAACTACAAGACACTCATGAGAGAAATTAAAGAAGACACCAATAAATGGAAACACATCCCGTGCTCATGGATAGGAAGCAAGCATTAATATTGTTAAAATGGCCATCCTGCCTAAAGCAATCTACAGAGTCAATGCAATTCCTATCAAAATACCAACAGCATTCTTCAATGAACTAGAGCAAATAGTTCTAAAATTCATATGGAACCACAAAAGAACCCGAATAGCCAAAGCAATCCTGAGAAGGAAGAATAAAGCAGGGGGAATCTCACTTCCCAACTTCAAGCTCTACTACAAAGTCACAGTAATCAAGACAATTTGGTACTGGCACAAGAACAGAACAATAGACCAATGGAACAGACTAGACAGCCCAGATATAAACCCAACCACATATGGTCAATTTATATATGATAAAGGACCTATGGACATACAATGGGGAAATGACAACCTTTTCAACAACTGGTGTTGGCAAAACTGGACAGCTACATGCAAGAGCATGAGACTGGATTATTGTTTAATCCCATACACAAAAGTAAACTCGAAATGGATCAAAGACCTGAATGTAAGTCATGAAATCTAAAAACTCTTAGAAGACAACATAGGCAAAATCCTGAATATAAACATGAGCAACTTCTTCCTGAATGCTTCTCCTCGAGCAAGGGAAACCAAAGCAAAAATGAACACATGGGACTACATCAAACTGAAAAGCTTCTGTACAGCAAAGGACACCATCAACAGAACAAAAAGGCATCCCACAGTGTGGAGAATATATTTGTAAATGACATATCCAACAAGGGGTTAACATCCAAAATGTATAAAGAACCCACATGCCTCAACACCCAAAAAGCAAATAACGCGATTAAAAAATGGGCAGAGGCTATAAACAATTCTCCAAAGAAGAAATTCAGATGGTCAACAGACATATGAAAAGATGCTCCACATCACTAATTATCAGGGAAATGCAAATATTACCTCACACCAGTAAGGATGGTCAGCGTCAAAAAGACTAGGAACAACAAGTGCTGGCAAGGTTGTGGAGAAAGGGGAACCCTCCTACACTGCTGGTGGGAATGTAAGCTAGTTCAACCATTGTGGAAAGCAATATGGAGGTTCCTCATAATGCTCAAAATAGACATACCATTTTACCCAGGAACCCCACCCACTCTTATGAATTTACCCAAAGAATACAAGTTCTCAGATTCAAAAAGACATACGCACCCCTATGTTTATCGCAGCACTATTTACAATAGCCAAGATATGGAAGCAACCTAAGTGTCCATCAGTAGATGAATGGATAAAGAAGTGTTACATATACACAATGGAATACTATTCGGCCATAAGAAAGAAACAAATCCTACCATTTGCAACAACATGGATGGAGCTGGAAGGTATTATGTTCAGTGAAATAAGTCAGGCAGAGAAAGACAAGTACCAAATGATTTCCCTCATTTGTGGAGCATAAGAACAAAGCAAAAACTGAAGGAACAAAATAGCAGCAGACTCACAGACTCCAAGAAGGGACTAGCAGTTACCAAAGGGGAGGGGTGGGGGAGGGTGGGTGCGGAGGGAGGGAGAAGGAGATTGAGGGGTATTATGTTTAGTACACATGGTGTGGGGGTCACGGGGAAGACAATGTAGCACAGAGAAGGCAAACAGAGAATCTGTGGCATCTTACTATACTGATGGACAGTGACTGCAATGGCGTATAGATGGGGACTTGATAATATGGGTGAATGTAGTGACCACATTGTTTTTCATGTGAAACATTCATAAGAGTATATATCAATAAGAAATGAATTTTTAAAAAGGCAAATGTAACCCCTTTCCCTAAAAGTGCTTATGCTGTTTTGATACTTTTTCACTTAACAGTGTTATCACCCTGTATCCTGTACAGCTCACCTAACATCTGACTACCATCTTCCTCAGTTGCAAGCGCTGCAGAGAACTCTACTGAAGGAAGCCTATAGTTTACAGATCCATGTATTGAAAAAGTCCTTTCTGACACTGAAGTGGTTCCCAGACTCTTTTCTCATGAACAAGGCCCTGCACTTAAATTCAGGTACACCCTGACTTATTTCTTTAGAATAAATCCTGAGCAGATGGAAGTGCTGGGACAAAGTGCAGGTACCTTTGGCCAGAACTTTTAATACCTGCTGCAAATCTCCAACTGCCTACCCTACTCCAGGCACTCTCACCCTCAGTGGACACAAAGATGGGCACAGGGTAGATACCAGCCCTCACCACAGCCCCAAGCCACATCCGACATTTGGGAACTTGGGGAACATCATCCTACATCAATAACCCCTACTGTGTATTAAAAGCAGTGATTTCACCACACAACAGTTGCATGAGCAGTAGGTACTGTGATCACTTCCATTTTCACCTGAGGAAACTGAGGCTGCAGTGCCCTGCCTGCTCTCAGAGTCACTACGAGCTCAGTCACAGAGCACAGGACTCAAAACCAGTCCTGAACACCGCCGACGCCCTGCTTTGGGCCACTGTACTCAACAGCCGCCCCAAAACTCTTATT